GAGGGAGAGAGGGAGAGAGAGAGAGAGAGAGAGAGAGAGAGAGAGAGAGAGAGAGAGAGAGAGAGAGAGAGAGAGAGAGTTGCCTTACCACATAGTGGAGGCTAGCAGACTAAGGAGCTTCTGAGCAGTTCTCATGCCCCCTCCTCCCATCTTGACTTAACATACAGACTCATTCCACTGCATTCAGTTCACAGTTTTACGTGGGTTCTGGGTTCTACCTCATTCCATCAGGCTTGCAAGGCTGGTACCTTTACTAGCTGAGCCATCTCCCCAGCCTCCCCCTCCCCCTTTTTAGAAAGAGAATGGTGGTGTTGCAGTGTGGTGTGTCGTGGGCTGAGAGATGGCTCAGCGGTTAAAAGTAATGACCTCTCTTTCAGAGGACGGGGGTTCAATTCTCAGTACCCACATAGCAGCTCACAACTGTCTGCAACTCTACTTTCAGGGGATCCGATACCCTCACACATATGCATGCAGGCAAAACCCCAAAGCACATAAAATAAAAATAGTAATCTTCAAAAGGGGGGTCTCATTATGTAAGTCCAGGGTGACTTGAACTTGTGGCAGTTCTCCTGCCTCAGCCTGTTGAGTGCTGGGTTTAAGGCATAGACCAGTACATCTGGCTCCCTCGTCCAAGACAATAACTGAGTTCATTCAGCTTGCTCTGGAGGTGGGCTTTGGGGTCACTGGACCCTGAGGATGAGGGAAGGGGATTGAAGAAGACAGTGAGTGAGGTGTGCGGCGTAAAGACTAAGCTCACCATGTTGAGTGGCAGAAAATGTACATCCACATGCCCTGGCACGAGCCACTGCCAAGGGGCAAGCGCTCTCCCTAATGTAATAGAACTTCTGGCTCTTTTGGCAGAGGATCGAGGTTGGCACAGTTTCAAGCTTTTATTCATTCAAAGGAAAGTGCCACCAAGGAGGCTAAATGAGGTGACAGAAAGGGAGGGAGGGCAGAGGTGAGAGAAGGAACTGTGGCAATTCCCCAGGGCACTTCAGGTCTGACTGGGCTCTCTAACTGGCAAGCCCAGATCATTCTTTTTTTTTTTTTAAATATTTATACAATATTCTGCCTGTATGTCTGCCTGCAGGCCAGAAGGCACCAGATCTCATTATAGATGGTTGTGAGCCACCATGTGGTTGGTGGGAATTGATCTCAAGACCTCTGAGCCTTTTCTCCAGCTCCGGATCACCCTTTGAAAAGATTTTTAAAACTTTAGCCAAGCAATGGTGGTGCACGCTTTTAATCTCAGCACGTGGGAGGCAGAGGCAGGCAGATTTCTGTGAGTTTGAGGGCAGCCTGCTCTGTAGAGTGAGTTCCAGGACAGTTGGGGCAACACAGGGAAACCCTGTCTCAAAAACGAAAAACAAATTTTAAAACTTTAATTTTTATTTTATGAGTTTTACCTGCACCCATCTCTGTACCGTGTGTATACAGTGTCAGTCGAGGTCAGAAAAGGACATTGGGTCCCCTGGAAGAGGTGTTGCTATTCATGTGGGTACTGGCAACCCAAGCCAGGTCTTCTGGAAGAGCAGCCAGTGCTCTTAACCAGCAAGCCCTCTCTCCAACTCCCAGACAGTTTTGTTTATTTTTCTTTTTTTTAAGATTTATACTTATTTACTTTATTGCTCTCTGTGTGTATGCTACATTTATGTAGGTGCCCACAGAAGTCAGGAAAGTTCATCTAGTCCCCCAGAGCTGGAGTGACAGGTGGTTGTGAGTTACTCCACATGGGTGCTGAGAACCAAGCTTGGGTCCTCTGAGAGAGTAGCAAATCTTAATGGTTGAGCCAGTTCTCAGCCCCCAGACCAACTTATTTTTTTAATATATTTTATTTTATTTTATGTGCATTTTAAAATATAATTTATTTTATTTTATGTGCATTGATGTTCTGCCTGCATGTATGTCTGTATGAGGGTGTCAGATCTTGGAGTTACAGACAGTTGTGAGCTGCTATGTGGGTGCTAAGAATTGAACCCAGGTCCTCTGGAAGAACAGGCAGCCCTATTAACCACTGAGCCATCTCTCCAGCTCCCAGACCAACTTCTGATGCTTGTTTACAGTACAGTCTGCCAGACTGCTCTTGTGACTTAACTCTGTGTTCTGTCTCTTGCAGTATGGCATCCTGCATTTCTGTGGCTTCCAGGTCTTGGAACCACAACTGGTGTACGGCGTTGGCCACACCCCACCAGATGCTCGGAGGCAGATCCTGGAAGGGTGGAAGAAGCGCCTGGAGACTATCTGGGAGGAGAAGCCACTCTACTTTCCTCCAAGCAGCATGTTTGACCTCAACTTCCAGACAGGATTCTTACTGAAAAAAGAGGTTCAAGAGGAGCAGGAAAAGAACAAATTTGGCCTTTCTGTGGGCCATCACTTGGGCAAATCCATTCCAACTGACAACCAGATCAAAGCTGGAAAATAAGACTCCCCCCCCCCAATATGTAAGTTTAACCTAGTTATCTTTTTTTACAGCTTGCCTGGCTTTTGCTTTCCCCTTTATTCCACAAGGATAGGAAAAGAAGTAGACTCACTTCTTAACGTTCTTGAATAGTTCTGTCAGTGAGTGTATGTACTATTACCTAAATCAGATTAGGTGCCACAGGTCGCTTGATATTTGGCGGTGGGGTTGTATGGGAGGAGGAAGATACTCCTCTAGGTCATCTACGCAATATAAACCCTTTCTTAGGGCTAGCCCTGGCCACAGGGTATCCGACTCTCCAGAGATTTGTTTCTTTTAATCACCTCTCTGTGGTTTAGGACAGAGGGGAATTGCTCAAAGAAAACAAAGGCTGAGGGAGCTACTTGCTTAGGAGTTAGTGAGCTGAAGTCTGTTTACAGTGCATCTCGGTTTCAATGACTGTGCAGTGATTGATGTGCCTCTCGGGGGATTTCTCTCCAGCTCGCCTCTGTCTTGTACACAGCACACACAGGTCCTAGGAAAGGAACACTGAAACAGGTCCCATGTTTCCACCTTTTTTTTTTCAGAATTAAATGAAAACACACAAGGACATGGTGGTGCATGCCTTTAATCTCTTTAATACTTAAAAAATAATAGCCCCCTACTGAGCTGGAGAGTTGGCTCTGATGGCAGTTAAGAACACTTGTTGCTCTTGCCCAGGACCTGGGTTCAGCTTCCAGCTGGCTGACACCTATACAGAAGCTAAAAGCTGTTTCTATCTCCAGTTCTAAGGATCCAGTGCTCTCTTCAGGCTTCTGCAGGCACCAAATGTACACAGTGCACAGACATACATGCAAATAAAACACTGATACACATAAAAGAAGTCCTAAAAGCCAAAACAAAACAAAAAACTGTAGCCTTCCACCAAAATAAAAGTTTGATCTATTCAAATGTCTTAAGGGTTTTTTCTATAATATTGGGAAATAAATGACATTGCCTTTTTATTTTTAAAGATCTGTCTTATTTTTATTTGTGTGCATTATGTGTGTGTGTGTGTGTGTGTGTGTGTCTGAGGGTTTGTGGTCCTGTGAGTACATCTTTTTACAGAGGCAAGAAGAGGGCCTTTAATCACCCAGAGCTGGAGTTACAGGTGGTTGTGAGCCACTGGAAGTGGGTGCTGAAACCAAACTCAGGCCCTTTATAAGAGTAGGAAGTACTCTTTAGCTACTAAACTCCAGCCCTGATGATCACACTCATTTTAAGAAAATATTTGTATCTCATGATTATTGAGATAAAGTTGTAGGTCTTATTATTTATGACAAGTAATTGTGTATGTATGTATGTATATATGTATGTATGTATATATGTATTGTGGGAGTAGCTAAAGAATAGCTTTCTCACAAATATGAAGCAAGCATTCTTCCCTTGCACTACGTTCTCGGTTCCTCATTTTGACATAAGACTAATTTTTATTTAGGTGTGAATGCACACGAGTGTGCATGCCGATGGAGACTAGAATGGAGTCATGACTCCTGGAGTTAGGGGCATCTGGTTGTAACCCCCCTGATGTAGTGCTCAGAATTGAACTCCATTTGGCCCTCTGCCAGAACAGCAAGGGCTCTTGAATGTTGAGCCATCTCCCTAACTCCAACCCTACCTACCCCCAATTTAAATTCTTGAAACGCATGCAGGCATGTTGGTGATGTTATGACTATCATCCCAGCATTCAGGAGACTGAGGCAGGAGGGTCAGAAACCTAAGATCATCCTGAGCTATAGTGAGTCTGAGGCCATCTTGGGAAACAAACACATCTTCAGGTGCATCTCTTTCCACTGTGGGTGCAATTCAAGGAGATTACAATAGTGCGCCCTCTTGTGGCAAATGCAAGAAAGCATGCAAAGCTAGGTGGACAGAAAATCTGCAGACCTAATTTAGAGATGGATGCTTTGAATCTGTTTCAACAAAAAACCCACTTTACTGGTACCAGTGGTCCAGGCATCCAGGTTGATATATTCAGGGCTCTCTGGAAGAACAGAACCTAAAAATGAATCTAGGTAGAGAAATAAATGGGATTTATTAGAATGGTTTACAGGCTGTGCTCCAGCTAATCCAACAATGGCTGTCTAACAAGAGGACCAAGAATCCAGTAGTTGTTCATTCCACAAGGTTGGATGTCTCAACTGGTGTTCAGTGTATACCAGAGTTCTCAAGAAGTCGGTTCTAATGTCAGTGAAGGGATGAATTTGCTAGTGAGAGTGATGGCAAGCAGGCAAAGACAGCAAGCTTCCTGCTTCCACATCCGTTATCCAGGCTGTCAGCAAAAGTGTGGCCAGCTTAAACGTGGATCTTCCCACCTCAAAATCTAGATTAAAACTGTATCTTCCCAGCTGGGCGGTGGTGGCGCACACCTTTAATCCCAGCACTCAGGAGGCAGAGGCAGGTGTATCTCTGAATTGGAGGCCACCCTGATCTACAGAGTAAGTTCCAGGAAGTCAGGGCTACACAGAGAAACCCTGTCTTGATAAACAAAAACAAGCAAGCAAACAAAAAAAGGTGTATCTTCACATATTAAGTGATTTAATTAAGAAAATCTTCCCTCATAGGTATACCCAGCCACTTGAGTTTTAGGTAATTCCAGATGTAGTCAAGTTGACAACCAAGAATTGGCGTCATATAGGTCGAAGGGGAATCTCCAGAGAGATCATCTTAGCGATTCAGTAAGAAGTGGTGGCCAGGTGTATAGGCAAGGTGATGCAGCTTGAGCTGACCCAGGAGGGCTGCTTCATATTGAATGACTGTGGAATCCTTTGTCCCTGGTACTTAGTGATGGAAAGGAAGATATTACTCCTGAAAGCCATACATATGCACATGTACCGTGCATATGTGCTTGAAAGCAATCACACGTGTGGAAACACAAATAACGCAATAAAGTCTTGTGTTTTGTTTTGTTTTGAGAGAGGGTTTCACTGTGTAGCCCAGACTGTCCTGGAATTCAAAGGTTCATATCTGCCTCTGCTCGGGTGCTGGGATTGAAAGCACCCATCTCTGTCCTGCTTTCATTATTTTAAGAGCACTGAGAAAGAAAGTGTTATTACATCGCACAGTGAAAAGGGAGTCCAGATGCCTGGGGGTGGGGTCAGTGTTTACTCTGACATTCCCAACCAATGGGCTGTGGATGCTTGGGGGTGGGGTCAGTGTTTACTCTGACATTCCCAGCCAATGGGCTGTGGAGAAAAGAATGAAAGAGACAGAACTGGGGCTGAGGGAGTTGTTTCACATGGGCCAATAGAGAAAGTGCACACTAAGTCCATGCTTGTCAGAGAAAGTGCTAAGTGTGCCTGGGTACCAGGAGAAGCACTCCAGGCACTGGGGTGTCTTTAATAACCCCCTGGGACAGGATCGTGCAAATAGATTCAAGGTACTGGAAGCGAGCTAAAACAGAGAAAGTGGAGCCTGACAGGGGTCAGAAGAAATGGGACTGTGGGTCCCAGCTGTAAGGAAGTCCTGCAGGCTTCAGAGCAGAAGGGTGCTAAGGCTTGTTTGGAAAGAGTAATTCTGGCTGGTGTGTGAGCAATCAAGTGTAAGAGATTAGGGTGGACTTGGCCCTCCCAGGGTGCTGATACAATAGAAGCAACAGGTGTATTTGACCAGTGTTATTGGAGATCTCTCTCCCGCCCACCAGTTCCAGAATAACCACTTTGAGGCTTAATATTAATCACAAACTGTTTGGTGAATGGCTCAGGCTTCTTACTGGTTAGCTCTACATATTTAAATTAAGCCATCTTTAGTAATCTGTGTATCGCCATGTGCCCTGTGGCTTATGAGCCCTGCCTCCCACTCCACCTTCTTTTTTCCCTCTGTTTGGATTTCCCACCTAGCTATATTCTTCCCTGCCATAGGCCAAAGTAGCTTTTTGATTAACCAATGTTACAAAAGAACTTTGGGTGATTGTCCAGGCAGCAAGATGTCTCTGTCATTTCTAGTACTTTGGAAGGTGCTTACAATGCGCTTCCTGTTTACTTAGGTAATATTGTATCCTTCTGGGGTCCTTGATGGAGTTGAACAATAGATAGCTATATTAGTTGGTGATTGTTAGTTTGTAAAGAATGTATCATCTCTAAAAGTGCCCCATTCTTGGCCCTGTTATTAAACCATTTTTTTAAGATATAATATGAAAGATAAAGCTACTTCCCAGTATCAAATAAATGGATGCATCAGAAAAACCATATCAGCCTTGCAGAATACCATGCATTGCATAAGCGTAAAGGTTATTAAATTCCAGGACGGTGATATTGTCTGCAATTATATAACTTCCAAATTTATTGATTTTATTTATTAACTAAATGAACTTACCTCCATTATGAATTTCAGCAAATTGTTGTAGGTGTAATAATCTTTGTTGACCAGTAGGTGTCATGGTTGTGGGTACCTTGTAAAGAGGGAGAGTGTGAACAGCCCTGCTTGGTTCTGCGTGGCTACCTGCTTAAATACTGACAAATATGCTTGAGAAGTTAAGAGCACTTAAATCAATTTCACACACAGAGAGTTTTTTGGTGGCTAGAATATCAAGGAGCTCAGAACTCGGGAGCCGGGAGCACAAACTGGAAGCTGGGAATACAAATCTGAAGCTGCACAAGTCACCATATGGCAGGAAAAGTGGCAGGGGGAGCTTGCATGAGCCCAGGAAATTGCCAAGTCACCAACTGGTGGGTCCATTAAAGAGGTAGCTCCACTGTGGCAGATATTTGGCAAAAAACTGCTTAGTAGGTGAAATCAAGCCAGGTGGATGGGGGTGGGAGACCATCGGCAGCAGACCTTTTGAGCTTGTCCCAGAAGGCATGGAGTCAGGATCCACATGGGCACCAGATATAGATAAACATGATAAAAAAAAGTCCCACACTAGTTCATAATTGAGTATAATAAAGGGTTCTTTATTTCAGGGTATACTCATAAATCAACAGTCCTTTGCATGAAGGGGGCACAGGAATGGAATCCAGCAGCTGAAAGAGAAGAAGAGTGAGTGACTCAGCAAGCTTTACACCTGCATTTATAGTAAAAGAGACCACACCCAAGTGGACTGGTATCTTAAAGGCTATTGGCTGAAGGAGTTCCCAGGCATACCAACTTTCTTCCCAACCCTAAAATTAACATAGTTTGGTTTGAACATCCCATGTTCTGACACATCTGGAGAGCTCTACCTGCCTGATGTGCATAACCTTCAGGCTTGGGTCAAGATGCACATCCTGTATGCCAGCCCAGCTCGTCTGTGTAATCCCACATCTCTGGAGTGTCCTGCAGAAGTTGCCGGCAGCTCTACTGGTCAGAGAATCTCTTCTCTGTAGGAGTTCTTACTGCTCGTAAAAACCTTAGGGAAAAAACAAACACCCAAACAAAACAAAAAACACAAAACAAAAAAATTTCCTGTTGAATCTTGTATGTTTTAGGAGCTTCCTGAAACTTGTGAGCTGTTTAGTTCCTGGTCCGTAAGTTTGTTTACTTTGGAAGTCTTACCAAGCTTCTCTCCAGGGTGTTCAATTTACAGGAAACTGTTATACATTAGTGTCTAAGTCTTGAACTCTGCACTTTTTTCCTATTAGACCTAGCTTAATTGGGGGAACTTTACACTGGGTTTTATACAATACACTTGCTTAGCTATTAATTTCAAAAACCCATTCTGTCAATATCTTTCTTTATTAAACTTGTCATTTATTATCTGAGCTGTTTTCTTTAATTCATTCAACTATTTTAAAGTTTTTACTTATACTTTATTAATCTTTAATTTTTTTTAAAAAAGTGTGCCCACAGAGGCAAGACTACTATGTTAGAATGCTGGAGATGGAGTTATGGGTGGTTGTATGCTACCAGATGTGAATGACGAAACCTCACTTTGTCCTCTGAAAGAGCTACAAGTGTTCTTCAGTACCGAGTTATCTCTTCAGTCCTTTTGTTGATCTTTTTTTTAAAAGTAATTTTAAAGCAATTCTTCATCTCGCATTTCATCCATTTCAGTAC